GCGACCGCCATGCTGACCTCGGATCTCGGTTGGCCATGGCGTCGCAACCTCGAATCTTGGTTGCGAATGCCACCGCGACACCCTTACAGTGATAAGGAGCTGAGGTCGGAGGGATCGTCGGAGGTTGTGGTGCAGCTCGGAGGTCTGGGTGGTGATTGGTGAGAGCCGGTGAAGCTGTGGCGGAGGAGTCCGTGTGCATCAACAGTGAGTAGCAGCTCGGGCGCAGAAGGGCGAAAAGAGAAAAAAAAAATAGAGAAAAAGAAAAAATGATGTGGAGGGAAATGAAGGAAAACAGGTACACATGAAAATGCCACGTTGCACGACTAACGGTGATCATTAGACAGAAAGTTAACAGAGTAGATTTGGGATAAAATTAAAATTTTTTTTTTGGTACAGAATAAAATTAAAAGTTTGAGAGTTTTTTTTTAGACAAAAAAAAGTTATGAATAAATTTGGTACTGAGCCTAAAGTTTAGGATTTTTTAGGAAATTAAGCCCTTTTATTAACTAATTATTTTAAATTGTACAAGGGATTACTTATTAATCAAATGAATCTTTTTTTCGTGAAACAAATTGGACGGAGGGAAGAGAGAAGAAAGAAAAAAAAAGGGGAAAAGACGAAAATGTCTTTGAGCCAAAATATTGTGGGGTAAATATGTCACAAGTGGCATAATTTAGAGTTTTTTATGTCACAAAAAAAAAGTTCAAAATGAATTTATTATAAGTGACATAATTTAGAATTTTTTGTGGTGTTTCTCTTGTTGGGAGGTCTTTCGAAGTTGTTAAAACAATAAGTAGAGAGGGGTAAACAATAAAGAAATTGCGAGGGATGGTGGGGGGCTGGTCGACGGTGGGACCCTCAGCCTTGGCTTCATCGAATCATTTCTCACGATTCGACCGAATGACCTTGTTTTTTTAATTAGATTAACTGTGCTCCGTGTGGGGACGCACACAGCAACTTCCCTGAAAAATTCTGGAAGGTAATAGCGACACGTGTATGGTATGGTCAACGTTTTAACTCAATAGACAGCTGCTTGTATTGTAACCTTTGTGTTTAATGTTTTTTTTAAGGGTTAATACCACGAAAAACCCTGAACTGGTACACTTGTGACAGATTTACCCCAAACTATTTTTTTGACCATAAAAAACCCCAAACTGATACATTTGTGATAATTTTATCCCGAACTATTTTTTTGACCACCAAAAATCCCAAACTGGTACACCTGTGACAATTTTACCCCGAACTAATTTTTTAAATTTTTTTTTTTTTTCGAATTTTTTTAGTTTTTCTTTTCTTTTCTTTTTCCTTTCCTTTTCTTTTTTTCTTTCCTTCATCTTCATTGGACCAACAATGGATTGTTATATTGCAATTGATACCACAATAACGTGACACATAACATAAATGCTACATTTTGACCCAAAAAAAAAAACATAAACGCTAAATGAAAGACTTTCTTTTATATGCATGAATTTTCATGCCAACCACTTTTTTCTACATTTAAATGTCTCGCGAAAAATGCATTATATTGTTGTCGTGTCTTTCTTATTTTTGGGTGCAAGTGGATAGGCAAACTGATGGGGTCCAACGTAGGCTTGTTACCTAAGCTTGGAGTACAGCTAATCAACAATTTCTATACGTCTTGCTTGCCAATTTAATTTAACAGATTAATTTACAAAATTAGTATATTTTATATATAAGATGAGAGATATTATATGTGCATGGCGATTCATAAATCAATATGATCACTTGAAATATATAATAAATAAAACGTGAGACATTTAATTGTAGAAAAAAGTGGTTGTCATGAAAATTCATGCATATAAAAGAAAGTCTTTCATTTAGCGTTTATGTTTTTTTTTTGGGTCAAAATGTAGCATTTATGTTACGTGTCATGTTATTGTGGTATCAATTACAATATAACAATCCATTGTTGGTCCAATGAAGATGAAGGAAAAAAAAGAGAAAAGGAAAGGAAAAAGAAAAGAAAAGAAAAACTAAAAAAATTCGAAAAAAAAAAAAATATTAAAAAATTAGTTCGGGGTAAAATTGTCACAGGTGTACCAGTTTGGGGTTTTTGGTGGTCAAAAAAATAGTTCGGGGTAAAATTGTCACAGGTGTACCAGTTTGGGGTTTTTGGTGGTCAAAAAAATAGTTCGGGGTAAAATTGTCACAGATGTACCAGTTTGGGGTTTTTTATGGTCAAAAAAATAGTTTGGGGTAAATCTGTCACAAGTGTACCAGTTCAGGGTTTTTCGTGGTATTAACCCTTTTTTTTAAGGACAAGGGAAAACTAGGGTTTGTTTTTACTGCTAGCATACATTTTTGTTATATCCAAACCGTTACCATCTTTAGTTTATGGGAAAAAAAAAACAAATCCAAAACCTTAAATTTTTATGTTTTACTTTTTAAATCCGCTGGACCGATTGGATTCAACAATTCGAACGTATTTGGTTGTATGCATTCGTTGCGTACTTGAACGAGTAATCGCATTAAATATTGTAATAATTGATTTGGTTTTTTTTTTCCTGAAGTTCTTTCATCTTGATTGGATTTTCATTTAGCGTATGATAGATTCTGATAAATATTAACCTAAGATTAGTCCTTTCAATTCCCGGATTATTTTATTAAACTAATTTCCGGGGGCTTCGCCCCCTGATTTTTCAGAAATTAGTGGAGGAAGCGTGTAATATTCTTAATGGGTTTTCGTTTTTTGATCCTTTTCTTTCTTTTTTTTTTATTTAATTGACTTAAAACCCAGTCTATGATTTTGTTTTTGGGAAAGTGCAATTAGGACCTTTTGGGTAGACTGGACCTCGTCAACAACTCATTTTCAGCATTTTAAGTAAGTGCAATAATGACTTTAATGACCATTTACATATCTCAAGTGCAATTATGACTTTTAATCCTAAACAAAACTCCACATTGAAAAGATCAAATCGCCTCTCATGGCAAACTCATTTTAACATCTCACAAAGTGTTGGGGTGGTTTGCTCTCTAGTTCGTTTTGAGTGTTTTGGGTAGCTGTCAAAATTCAAAATTTGGTATGTACTTTTTGAAGGGAAAAGTGTCAGAAAAGTTATAAACCTTTTGCAATGATGCCAATTGAGGCATAAACCTTTTTTTGGTGCCAATTGAGTCTTAAACATTTTGTTTTTGTGCCAATTCAATCCTTCCGGCTAATTTTGCTCGGATTTTGCTGACGTAGATGCCGGCCGACGATCGATGCTGACGTGTACAACTTTTAATAATATTTTAATATTTTTTGAATTTTTACTTTTTTTTTCTTTTCTTTTTTTTTTCCCTCCCCTCCTTCTTCCTCTAGCCGGTCGCTGAACCGGCGACCGACCAGAGGCTAGAAGCCGATGAGGTCGACCTTTGATGAGCCACGTTGGCCACTGGCGAGGCTTGCCCTCGCTGGATGGTCGCGAGGGTGGCCTTGTGCTAGGTTGGCGAGGTTCACCCTCACCGGTGATGGGCGAGGCTCGACCTCGCAAGAGGCCGCGAGGGAGAAGGCCGCAACCTCGTGGCCTCTGGCGAGGGCCGAGTGAGCCTCACCGGCGGTTGGACGGGGCCCGACCTCGCCAAATCTAGCCAGGTCGTGCCTCGCCCAGCCATGGCGAGGCTCGCCTTCGTCGTCGCTGGCGAGGGCGAGCCTCGCCAATGACCGGTGAGGTCAACCTCATTGGCCTTTGGCCTCTGGCCGATTGCCGGACTGGTGACCAATTGGAGGAAGAGGGAGGGAAGGGAAAAAAAAAGAAAAAGAAAAGAAAAGAAAAAAAGAAGTAAAAAAAAAAAATTATTAAAAGTTGTACACGTCAACGCCGGCGACTAGCGTCCACGTCATCAAAATCCGGCTAAAATTAGCCGGAAGGACTGAATTGGCACAAAAACAAAAAGTTTAGGACTCAATTGACACCAAAAAAAGGTTTAGGACTCAATCGGCACTAATGCAAAAAATTTAAGACTTTTTTGACACTTTTCTTATTTTTGGAAAGAAAATGACATTATCGTAAATAAGGATACAAAGTTTACTTATGTGAAGGTATGCAAAGTGACCCCAAGGATAAAGCTCAGGTATATCTTTAGGATTTTCCAAAGTGGAGATATGCAAGCGATAATTAAGTGAAAAGTAAGGTATAAATAACGTCTAACTCTCGCTCTTTCACGGAAGTCCCGATAAATCAATTTCATGGCCCTAAGCCGTCAGTTTTAGAAATTTTCCCTTAACGACACGCGGCGATTGTACGAACTCGTTCCCTTGCGTTGTTGAAGTACCTATAAAGTAATAAATCAACTGCGCATGAAGAGGAAAAATCGATGTTTCTCCTTCGTCCTTCCGTCGAGGTCGTGAAGCTTATCATGTTCTTTCATGTCATAAGTTGAAAATAAAAATGTTTAGGCATGTTTTTCTGGTCAAATTCTAATGTTTAGGTTTGAGAAGCACGGGTTATTAGTTTTTTTCCCTAAACCTTGCTCCAACACGCCAAGAAACAAATCCAAATTCCTCGTGGACATACAACACTTCACGGCCAACAAAAACATGTGTTTATATTATGTTATGCGCTGACAACGGTATCATGTCAGGTCAGGTATAGTAGGTAAAACTTTTGGGCTAAGCTCTCCTCGCTTGCAAGAGAGAGTGCCGATAGCAATTACCTGCATTCACGAGGCCCTTTTCGGTAACTTCACTGGAGCATGATGAGAAGCTCGGACAAGGAACCATGAGCAATTTGAAGGGGACCCTGTCCCGCAAGGTGCTTTTCCTCTTGTTTGACGAAGAAAAGTGGTTTCTCCTGGTCTTCTGTTGTATTTATTTTAGAGAGAGAGAGGACCAAAAAGATAATCTCATCGAACCGCCTTGTCTGAAAATCTTGCTGAACAGAAGCGCCCGCCTGCTTCTCTTAAGGGAGAGAGTGTGAGAACCCTTCAAAATATAAAAAGAGACTTGGTCTTTTGTTTCTTCGCATTCAATTCCTTCATCTTCTTCTTCCTCTTCTCTCTCTCTCTCCCCTACAGATTATAACCGACTCTTGATTACAGGGGCCGAAAGTGAGGAGGAAATGATATTCAAAAGGAGGGTGAGAGGAAGTAGCTCTCTTCGCCATTAATGGTTTCTGTCAAGAAACTTGTCATCGCAGGTCTTGGTGATGAAGAAAGATGAAGTTGTGAGTTAGAGAGAGACAGCTAGTCGCAGAAAGAGCTCAAAATTTGCATTCAGAAAGGAGCGTGTTCTATTCTTTCTTGGCCATGGATGCCAATAAAGCCATCATCACCAGCCAGCACACAAGTCAACTGGAGTATCAGCAACAGCATCAGCAGCATCAAATACAAGATCACGGCCATCACCACTACCATCATCAGCAGCAGCAGGTTTCACACGGAATGATGCAATCATCGCCATCATCCTCCATCACCGCGAATAATTTCTTGTAATTTACTCGTCACTACCCAACGAAGCATTTTCTCACCCTAGTGTCCTTTTATCTCCTCCTTTGCCTCAAGAAAGCTGAGATTTTTCGTGTTCTTGCTTCTGTGCAAGTGGTTTCGTTGTTTCGGAGGTGAACATGTTTTTGTTGTTGGTAGAAGCAAAGACGGGGGTGGAGGAGGAGGAGCTTATGACTTGGGCGAGCTGGATCAAGCCCTTTTTCTCTATCTCGATGGGCATGACCAAACTGTTCAAGATAAAAAACGTGAGCTCTCTCTCTCTCTCTCTCTCTCTCTCTTTGACAGAAACAGAAACTTTGAAGGGGTATCTTTTCTTTTTTTCAATCATCTCATTCCCTATCGCAGAATTCATAATCGTATCCCCATTTGGTTCACAAGAAAAGCATGCCATGCCCAAACGGATTGAATCCGATGGTACTTTTCCTTTGACCGAATCGTTGCCAAAAAGAAGATCGAGAAAAGATCTCAATTCTGCAAGAAAATAAAAAACAAAAAAAATCAAAACGCTTCTTTTTCTTTAAAGAAAAAAGGCCCTTTTGGTTGCCAAAAGTTCCATGGTATTTCGTGAGTTGGGGTCCATCACCCATAACAAATCCAAGCTCATGAATTGAGGCAACGAAGAATGGGCATGGGTTGTTGTGCTTTTTCGTGCTGTGATGTTCCTGCTCCTTTTTTCTGTTTGGATTATCAGAGAGCTACCAAATGCGTGAGGTCTCTCTCTTTCTGGGTCCTCCTTCAATGATTCTCTCTCTCTCTCTCTCTCTCATAGTTACCAAGATATAAGGGGTAAAGCTTGTCATAATTGTTTGTGTAATTACATGTGTGTTATGTGCAGAGAATTCTGGGATGAGACCTCCAACTCTCAACATTTTCCCATCTCAGCCTATGCACGTCGACCCATCGCCAAAGGTAACATCAACCCACGTATCGTATATCATCAGAATACCCAATGTCCATTACCTTATCACCACTGCCACTGCTACATCATCTTCTTCTCCAGTTGTTGATTTTTATAGATGGGATTTGTTGATAGGTTAACATGGGATTGGTCTCTCCGCAGGCAAGCGGTTCGAAGAGACCGTCAGAGCCATCTGTGGAGTTAGCCAATGCGAGAAATGATGTTGCATCTGCTCCTCCTGAACCACCCAAAACCAATGTCAAGGTAGGACATATATTCCATTAATAACAACATCACATCTATATAACTTCACCAAGTCCTTGAATATAGAAAGGGACTATTTTATCAATTTTCATCGAGGAAAGAATAGTACAGTTAGCTAGGCTGCGTCGGAAATGAGGATTAACTATTCTAATTCCGAACTGTATATTAATAATCAACTTGTTTTGTTAAAAAAAAATGGTGTAATGTGATCTTTGTTGTGGGGGCAGCGTGAAGGGAACCGCAAAGGCCCAACGTCCACTTCAGAGCAACAAGAAGGTCCTAAAACTCCTGATCCTAAGGCATGTAAAATGATTTTACTTTTTGTAACAGTTATTTATTTATCTCCTCTTATTATACATTTCTCGCATTAATAATTTTTGTCCCCCATTTGTTCATGGGTCTGATACATATGTCATAAGTGGATGAATAGTTTTCATGACACTGTGTTTGCATGCAGACCTTGAGGAGACTCGCACAGAATAGAGAGGCAGCGAGGAAAAGCAGGCTAAGGAAGAAGGTGACACGGGTTCATTTCATGTACTCCAAGTTCGAGAATCAAACAAAAGTTGTTGCTCAAGTTTGTTTCTTCTTTTGTTCAAATCTTAGGCGTACATTCAGCAACTAGAGACAAGTAGGATCAAGCTCTCACAGCTGGAACAAGAACTGCAAAGAGCACGATCCCAAGTGAGATTTCTCATCACAAAAATGATTTTCCCCCCTAAAAAAAACCTCATTTTTGTTCTTCCTTTTTAACTCTCAGCGAAATATATAACACCCATAATAAAATAATGGAGGAAAAAAAAAGAGAAAAAGCGACTGAGACTAACTGAGGAGGTTCTTTTTTGGTTCTTAGGGCATATTTGTCGGAGGAGGAGCAGTATTAGGAGGAGAACAAGGCCTCCCAGTGGGCATTAGCAACATCAGCACCGGTATTATGCTTGACCACTTTGGCTGATTTCACACCGAAGATAACGACCGAATTTTATTTTACTGGGTGTAGCTTGCGAACTCTGTCTATACAAACCAATGAACATCACACGGAGCTAACTATGGACACTTATCATTCATTTGCATCATGGAGTTGTACTTCGGTATTTCATTTAGGTGTGTTGTTAAAAAATTTGATGCAGATGCTGCGGTGTTCGACATGGAGTATGCGAGGTGGGTCGAAGAACACCACCATCTCATGTGCGAGCTCCGAGCGGCGGTACAGGAGCATCTGCCAGAGAACGAGCTGCGGCTGTTCGTGGACAACACGCTGGCTCACTACAACGAGATGATCAACCTCAAGAGCATGGTGGCAAAATCGGACGTGTTTCATCTCGTTTCGGGAATGTGGAAGACCCCGGCTGAGCGATGCTTCATGTGGATGGGCGGATTCCGTCCTTCCGAGCTCATCAAGGTATATTAATTTTTTCCTCACTATGATATAAGACTGTTGGTCTGTTGCTACGTGTTTATGAGAAAAAAATGGATTTTATTCTCATGAGCATGATTAGAATTTTCAAATCCCAAAATGTTCATCTCATCTGAAATAGGTCCTTTAGGGTTTATACCGTAAAAGATAATTCAAAGTTTTGACAGTTTTTCACTTTAGTTACCAAACTTCAGTTCGTATATATAAGTCTGATAGGCAAGTTTCTGGTCGATTTTTTAAAATCTCAAACGATTTTTACTTTTTCTTGGTCCTAAAATAGAGTGGGTGTATTGTATAAAAGTGGAGCTATTTATAGGAAGGTATGGGAAACATCAACGTGTAGAAGACATTTCAATGCATGGGCAAAAATTTGGTGATCGCTAGAAAAAGATGTCTACATGAAGATCAAATAAATGACGAAAGGGCCTCGTGAAGCTTTTTCTACCAAAGGGCCAAGTTAGGTTTTCTTCTCATAAAGCGATGTCCCTTACTACTAAGTAAGGCTCGTCGCCTTAGAAAGGGAAAGACAGAGAGTTGCAGATCTTCATCTCCGATATTGTCCGTCTATTCTCTAGTCTTCTCTTTGATGTCAACAAGGATTTTGTTCTCATGTTCATCTTTTCCTTTGTCTTCAAGTGCATAAACCCCCTTTGCCCTCGAAAAAGAAGTAAAAAACCTTGATGCTGTTGCTGATGAATTTCTAAAACGTTTGAAGAAACACTAAAGAATTTAAAATAGATGCTCGGAGGATCTAAATATAACATTTCTCACTGAAATTCTGGATGAGTCGATCAAGCATATAAAGATGCAAATATCTATGTAACTATAGTCCTTCGGTGATTTCATGCACATACCTATTTGACTGCAGGTTATACTAAACCACATCGAGCCCTTGACGGAGCAACAAATACTAGGGATATGCGGGTTGCAACAGTCGACGCAGGAGGCCGAGGAGGCTCTGTCACAAGGGCTTGAAGCCCTCAACCAGTCACTCTCGGAGACCATCGCTTCCGATTCATTGCTCTCTCCTCCTAACATGGCCAACTACATGGGCCAGATGGCCGTTGCCATGAACAAGCTCTCTACCGTCGAAGGTTTTGTTAGACAGGTATGCCCTAACTGCGGTCCACCTTAATTAATTTGTCTGCACTTTCGTAGCTTCCATGTTCTCACCATGCATTTAAACACAAAAAAAGGTTGTTCAGCTAGGTTTTGCCTTAGACCAATCCATCTTTCCGACCAATATAGACTGAACTCTACTACGAGAATATGGATCTTGCCCATTTTCAATTGTGATTTATTCCGCCCGCCACATTAGTAAAAGAAAGGATCGAGTCTAGCGATTCTTTTGTCGAGCCATCATGTCATGCATTTCTATGGTGGTCCCAAGGAGAATAAGTATCAGAAAAGATATGGCTTCTGTTTTGGTATAGGAAACCAACCCCAACCCTTTGAACTACTCCATGACCACCCCTCTCCGAATGCTGGTTGGTTACAGCGTATCTTCCGCACTTTATATTTCTGTGTCTCTGTTCCAACGCATGAGATGTCTGCCATATAATACGACAGTGTGCAAGCCTCAGGAATCTTCTGCAAAATAAAAATATGCGTGGCTTTTGGTTAAGTCAATTATAGGAATAAGTTGTTGACAATCATTAGGTTTCATCAGTTTGGTGCGATGAGCGCAGTCGTCCAAACGGGTGTGTCAAAAGCCTCTCTTCTCTCTTAGTTCCTTCCTCCCATTATTCCTCTAGAAGACAATGCGAAAGAAAAGTTTTAACCCCATACAAAATCATTTGAAAAGACCGACTAGAAGATTGTCCGAACTGACGGGTTAAATGCACGACGGGTAGTCTATTGAATATAAGTAAAAAGTTGTATCCAATTCTAGAAAGGGCTAGAAAAGCACATAATTCCTTGTGCCATAACCTCGACTACCAAATTTAAGGTTGCATGTACTTCATTAGGGGATACAAATCAGTAGATGATGAGATGATATTATCCTAGAGCGACAAAGAGAAAAACCCAATGTCTGAGAAATGAAATACCTTTCATGTCTAGCATAAGAAAGTATTATATACGATAACTATTCTGTATACAATTACGTATATCATCTATGTTTTCTTCAATGCGATACTAACGAATGCCCATGACACTCCACGTATTACCGAGGGTGAGCCACGTGGATCCACGATCCATGTCCCACAAATTTCGTCCATGTCCATGTCCTCGATACCCCAATATTGATGTCACGGTCGTAACCGGTTGACCTGAAGGACATAGAGAGGACCAAATTTGCATGAACTGGCCCCCTTCTTGACCCTTCTCGAGACTAGCTTGCGCACCTTCATGCCCTAATTTTTCCAAACAAGACTAAGATCCGAACGCGCATGCACATCTAATCTAGTTTAATGCCCATTCTTACCACCTTTATTTTAATTTTTTTAAATTGTTTTGAACGGGGCCATATTCAGCTGTTCTGGTTCTATTAATTTTGACGAATATATGTACATGGACCATTCATTTGTGTATCATTAGATCAATCACTCGGCCATGAATGAGATTTAAACGATCTTCTGTCTTTTTGCTTCATCACAAAAAATTTCTTTGAGCCGGGAATCATCGGAAGAATACACAAAATACACGTCAACTTAGATATCACGTGCAAACCTGAGGGCGACGGACGGCAGCCGTCACCCCCTAATTTGTGGGTGTAAGTTGGCATTCTCATGTAAATCAAATGCAATATTTTCAACGAGATAAATGTCGATTTGATTGAGGTCATGCCCCACCACGCCACCCCCACACCCCCCACCCCCCTAGCTTAAGTTTCGACAAAACTTTCAACTCAAGGTAAAGTCAAATCTCCTTCACTAGATACAATTTCTCACTTGATTAGAGAATTGTTGTGCTCTTTTTCCAACTTTTTGACTGAGCTCTTCATGGGTGTCGTTGTCCTCGTGCCCTTTTGGTTCTGGACTCGTGGATGAAGTGGGGTTTTCTTTTAGAGGTGCACGTTTCCACAGTTTGACTTTTTTCGACGACTATGGTAAAGAATCTTGATAACTACAGGAAGAACAGCAATCATGGTTTTAGGGAAGAACTAATGGACGTGGACGTACATTTGTCATTTTTCATTAGTTGACCGCTTTGTAGTTTGGACGGGGCCTAGACTGACCTAGAGGGCACAAATCTCCCTTGAAGTCAATATGCATCATTCTAGTGCTATCATTCCAGCCACTATGATCTAAATTCTTTTTTTCTTCTTTTTTGTGTTTAAATTTTGACTAAAGTGGTGGTGGTTTGCATGTCCTACAATCATAACACTCCCGCACAATATTCCAACTTGCCACCAACCCCTCTTTCGAGACTTTGTCTTACTTTGATGCATATAGCCATTGATATTCAAATATTGTATTTGGATAGTAAGATCCATATTGTTAAAGATAAAGGGAAAAAGAGATCCTTAGAGGTTGGTCATGAACAGCGGAGATATACAAATCGACCCAACTAGCTTATCATCTACAATGTTCATATCTTGTTTATCTATTCACTAATACAAAAGTGTTCCTTACAGGCAGATAACTTGAGGCACCAGACACTTCACCGGCTGCATCAAATTCTCACGACTCGCCAAGCCGCGAGGTGTTTCCTCGCGATCGCCGAGTACTTCCATCGCCTCCGAGCTCTCAGCTCCCTATGGTTGTCACGTCCACGGCAAGAATGATGAAGACCTTTCACTAGCTATATTTTAGTAGAGTCCCCTTTTTCTCTCTTGCCACCAACCTCACCAAGTTATGCCTAGTCAGCAGTTACAACCATGTTTAATTACTTCCAGTTGCGAAATAGATGTATACATAGATGATAGATATATAGAATTGACTCTAAGGCAAGGGAAATCAGCTGCATCCTCTTTATTTGCCCTATTGCTTCACGAGGAAGTAAATCTAATGTGGCAATGATTTCGCAGCCATTGCTGACTAAAAGTAGACAATCTAAGTAATAGAAGGAAGGTAGAAATTATAGGACATTGGGGTTGAAGAAGAAATTGATTTTTGGCTAATTTTCTCTTCGCTTTGTTTGTTTTATTTGTTTTGTGTGAGCTAGAAAGACACTCCCTGGCATTGAGGAAGAATGCATGCAAGGCCAAGAGCATATGGACATATTGTTTTTGTGTGTTGTGACAATGTGCATGCTTGATGCTTCTTCGTGGTGATTATATAAGAAATAGTTCAAAATTTGATAAAAATTTATTTACTAAATGATATGATATGACTTCTTCGGATATTCATACCAATAAGTTTCTTTGTCCTACGAACTCTGAGTTATGCCACCGATTATGAAAATCGGATTAAGTCATCAATCTTTGGTTTCTAGCCTAGACAAGCCATTCACCATGGATTTTAGAGGTCTAGATACAAACTTCTTTTGTGACAATATGTCTAATTGGCCTTAAAAAGTTTATGTGGCCGTGAACAATGTAGGCAGAGTCAACAGCTTCCATCTAAAACCATTATTTTCTTTGACCCACTAATTTATATGTGTTTTAGGATCGAGGAGATATATCATTCAAAAAAATTTGTATATACACTGGCAATCTGGATGAATACCAATTACATTTATGCATGGAATAATTTGAGATTAGCATGTGTAAACTAAACTTTACACGGACAGCATATCAAATTAAATTCCTTGAAAACCAACTCGTTTGAGCAGGAATAAGAAATCTGAAAGAAGAGATTGACTAACGAGGCCTTTTTAGGGGAAATTTACACCGGACTATTCTACAGGATATGGTAATATTAGATCTAAAGAAGATGCATTATTTCTACAGGATAAATTCAAACATCGTGCCAGACATCGAGGAAAAACTTAGATTTGGTGATTAGGTGATCTCAACAAGCTGGCTGGTCCAGTAGATAAGTGCTGCAACTGAAAATGGACTTGTTGGGACAAATAATGCAACTAAAGATTCCATTATTAGGTGATGCAGCTGGTAGAGAAAAGGGCAGTTATCTTACATACAATATTTAGGTGTCATATTTACATACTATATAGAAAGTCAAATGGAGACTCATGGAAACGTGACAGCTCTGCCAATCCTTTCATTTTCAAGGGAAAATGATAGGAGATTTCAAAGTCATTTTCTTTTTTTTTTCCATTAATTTTCGCTTGCTTGTGTGGGTTTTCGTGTCAAATATGACTATAGGAAAGTGTAAACCGAAAACTTAAACTGATAAGCAGGGGGATTGCATAAATATAAGATCCATCGAAACCCCATAGACATGTGAAATGGGATATGTTTTAATACCTTCTCTCATGTGCAAATTGGATTGATAATGACACGTAGAGTTGATGGATGGAAAGCCTTACACGCGAAGCAAATCTACGGCGAAATCTGACTCCGGTACCATTTTCAAATGTCTAACCCAAAAGTTTAAGCAAATTGGAAGAGAGAGAATACATGAATACGATACGAGATCTACTGAAACCCCACAGACATGTGATATTAAATTCTTTACCAATGACATTCCTCGAATGCTATAATTTTTATGGACCCCAATGATCTCCCTCTATTGCTCGTTTGGTCCGACGCACTTTTTTCTTCGAAAGTTTGAAAACGAACAAAAAAACTAGTTTAAAATTTAAATATTACAAAATAAAATTTAGATATGAACTCATGTATATTTTGAAAGATTTCAGGTGTTAGGTGTTATACAAAAGACAAATTTCCAAATGCTATAAGAGAGGGAAAATAAATTGACAATTGGTTAATAGAAAGCCCACTTACATATAGCAGCAGTACAGGCCGACAACAGTGCATCCATGGTCGGCCCACGAACACATGGTCCTTTTTTCTAAGCCCAAGAGTCGACGCCGGCCATCGAGCCCGTCCGTACGCCCCCTTGCCAGGACGCAAACGTCGAAGTTTCACCGGAAACGAACGGTGAAAGACGGCGGCTGCGGCGGCGACGACGGCCAAGGGTTGCCGACAAATGAAATGACGGCGGAGGCCAGCCCGAACAGCGACTTGGATGCTGGAGCAAGCGAGCTCCAGCTGAAGAAGATTTCGTTTGTTGGTAATAGTTTCCATCTTGAGATTCTTGAATGCGTCTCCGTAAGGGACTTTTAGACCGTTACGTTTACTGTATGATAACAAGCGGTTGGGATCTTGGAGAGGAGGATCTGTATTTTGTCATGGGATTTCTGGTAGACGAATGTCTTCCTGCTGAACATGTGGTTTTCTTCACAAAAAATCGCATTGCATGTCGAAAAAGACTATCAAAGTTCCGCTTGTAGAAGGTAGAGTACTGAAAGGATGAAATTCACTGTCATCGATGCTGGTAGGCGCATTTGGTTTTCTCAAATGAAGTTGTAATCTATATGTTCTCCTTACCCTCAACCTCATGTCATACGTATCACGCCCCCGCATTCATCCTGATTAGATTCGTGCGGTTTTTTTTGTACTTTATGATTCTAGGATGGTTCTTTTGATGGTAAGACAGATTAGTGAAGGGTGCATACGTACTTCTGGGCTAATGCGTTTGTTTTTAAAGCACTGTGGAGTGAGGAGCAGAATATCGTGAAAACACTTTGGTAATGAACTGGACAAGTACAACTCCGAAATAGAATCGGAGTAGATAACAAATGTGGACTACTGGCCCTGATTGTTTGTGTGTGAACTCCTCAGCTCAGAGCATGCTGTCAGCCCGAGACGGCAACCTCTTGAAGAAGTTGCTGGGGATTGAAGGAAGCTTGCTCCTGAATCTTGGATGCCGAAGCCAGACTATGCCCGCGACCAAGGCCACTATCTTAAACGGAGTTATGTAGAGGGCCACAGCTGCAACGAGGCAGAAAAGTATGAAGAGGCTGGTCGCTCTTGTGTCTCTCCAGCTGAGAAGGGCCTGAAATCTTTCCCCTTGCGTGGCCATGTCGCCCACCACAGTCTGTATCCTCCCAGCCACGCTCCTGAGCCTGTCATACCTCATCCTCACCACATCTTGAGGCTTGGATGTAGGAAAAGTATCGAACTCTTCATCTAACTCGTCTGGATGGACCGCTTCTGCCCACGATAGTTTTGGATCCATGTGAGGCGGGTGCCTTGGCCGGAATCTATAGTTCCATATCCCGATCAGAAACATGTACAGGAAAATCGTGGGGAGTATTAGTTCCGGATAGCATATCAATATGAAGAACAGGACGTGAACCAGGACTGTCGTGGCGGGGTTCTTCCAGTGGCGGACTTCACCTAGCCACTTGCTCATAGATATGGCGCCGGAGAAGAGCGAGACAATGCGGAAGAAGTTAGCCTTGCTTCTTCTCATGCTCCACATGTGGGAATCCACGTCCAGCATGTACTCCACCACCTCCTTCCTGAGTGGCGGCTCTGCCCTGCCAAGCCTCACTGCTACAATGTTCATGGCCTGGTACCGCAAACTGTCGAGCTGGTTAACTGTAAATGGAAGCAGATAGTGCATCTTGGGCAACAAAGGTTGCATGTAGAGGTAGATCATATTCGCGAGTGAAAGAGAGGTGAATCGAACCGCCAATTGGAGCTCTCCCATTTTCTTCAACCCCGACGGGTGGAGGACAAGCAGCGGATAGGAGTGAGTGTATATTCGGTCCGTTTCGAGGGTCGATAGCCGAATCCTTACCTTCCCAATTCTTGAATCAGCTTTTGCCCCGCCACCACCTGCCGATTTCTCGTTCCCACCCAAGTGGCAGTTGTCAAAAACTCCCAGTGTGATCACAGTGCAGGGGTCATAGACCTCCCATGTATACTGCTCATTCCATTTCGGGCTCAAACTCTCGAGGATAGTCCTTGTTCTCACCCACTTCTGTCCGTACTTGGCAACGCAGTAGGCATCGGTGGTTCCTCGGCCGTCCTTTGTCTTCATGGGAAGAAGCCCTTGAGCGCTTAGAATACCCACTTCAAGTATGCCAATAGGGTGCTTCCACAGCTGTCGTGCCGTCGGCCGCTGGTCGCTGATGTACATGGTGGACTCGTCCAACACATGGTAGGCACCTTCAAGACAGACTCTCAGATGTATCCTGCTTGAAAACTTGAGTTCGTGCCTTTTATCTGCTTCCAGGGCACCAAAACCAAATTTCTCGAGGTTGAACCAGCGCGAATGAATTGGCCGGTGATCCAGGCGCCTCTCGAAGATGGTTAGTGGCAATATCAATCTGCCCATGACTTCATCCTTAGCAGGGGTTACTTTATTTTCAACTGTTAGCACCAACTGCTCTTCAAAAGGCTCTGCTGCAACAAATAGCAGGTCCTCGTTCCAAAATGGATTTGTCGTCCTGTTAGGACAGAGCTTGGTCTTGAGAATCTGGTGTCCGACTTGTGCTTTCACAAAAGCTTGCGGCACTTGGCCTCGGTCATGGGCCTCCGCATCCTGAGCTTCGATCACGTTCACCCTGACATACCACAGTTTAGGGGAAACATAAACCTTGGACCGAATATTATATACTCCCTCTCCTTGGACTGATGCTGCATCTGAATGCCAGGCCTCAGGGAAGGCTTCGTCAGCTTGCGTTCCCATCCAAACCGCAAGCATAACTTCTCCTTTCACCTTGGTGTCTCCTCGCCGATCTTCCAACCTGTACCACTGAGGTGCCAGAGGACTGTCTGGTGGAACTCTAGTCGGCACTTCATTCATGTCGAACACCACCTTGCCTATGTAATCATCTCGCCCGACCATTTCTTTGTCCCGGATGAATACTTCAAGAACCGAGGACTGGATCTTTTCTTTGGAGAAGGCGAAAACCTGTTTCCATTCTGGGTTTGCCCTCTTTTCAAAGTGCCTCGTCTTGCCTTTGTAATTCCCGAGCTTCACTTCGACATATGGGTCACAGCTTCCTGTGATAGGATTCGGGGGAAGATCCTTGGCTTTCACGACGCGCACGTAGAGATAATACATCTGTTCGACAAGGTCGTAGGTGCTTGAGGCTCTTTCGCTCGTGATCCATCCGCCCCCACCTCGGACACCTCCATGTGGCCATCGTTCCCCGAGCTGAGGTTTCGTGTGTTTCAACTTATAATCTTCTTGGGTGTGTGGAGGGACTGGCGTAGTCATGGTGCTGTAATATTTTTCCACAGAACCACTGCTAGTTCAGAGCTTGCTGATGCTGGAGGCGTATTTAGCTGAAGTTAGGCAACTACAATAGTACTAAAGATTCATCAGTTACCTTACCATATGAAAACTGAAGAAGATAACATTAATATAATAGTAAACGTGAGCGTGAAAACATACAAACAAGCAACAGAAAGAGCGCTCTAGTCGTGGGTAAGAGTTGTTACCTTCAATTGTATGCTTCCATATCCCACGAAAGATTGCTGCTGGAAAGATTAGATTCTCATGTCTGTATGTGCAGATGTTAAACTTGCAAGTCTCTAGGTCTTTCGAGGTTTCGGCGTCGGGAAATTGCTGCCTTCTGGGGGTTTAGAGACTTATTGGATGAAGCTCTCCAATTCAGGGAGTTGAGCTTGACAACTTTGTCTTTAGGCCAAAGATGCTGAGCATCTGTCACCTGCACTACCAGCTCAATATCAACTTTTTAAGTTGCTTTAGCATTCTTTTGAGAAAGATCACTACGTGATCAACCTCTTCATTTTAGTACCCAGAGCATTTGTTTGTTTAGGGCTGATGAACATGGCAGAAGCGCGTAACTTCGTACAAATAATTTCCATTAGTCAAATACGTGGCTGTGATTATTGTGAAGAATCGAATCTAATTGATTTGATTAACCTGTGTGAGCCTGCTTTCTCACCGAAACCAAGCAAAAGGAAGGATTCCCCACCTAAGAAACAAAGATGATCTTTCTGGGAATATAGTGCAGAGCAACTAGGCACATAAGCTTTTGTAGATGCTCTGTGCTTTCCCAAAACAATATTCTCAAAGCATAAGCTTTTTAAGGGCTCCATCTTTAACACCTCCAGTCCTTTTGACTTTGTCTAAGCAAAGAAAAAGAGATTCTCAGGAAGGGACACATGGGTGCTTTTAGAAATTTGTAGTGAACAGTGTTTGTGAAAGTGGCTTTTGCTCTCCTCCTTTTGCACAGACTTCAGCTAAGGAAAAGCAAAGGGCTCGGTGTAACAGAGAAAAAGCTTAAGTTGTGTACATGACCCTTACCAATAAAGATGCTTTCCACGTTATTCGTGTTGCTTCTTGGGCCTGCAATGCTTCAAGGCCAGAGCCCTGATTATCGGGCCATGATGACCAGGCCCATGAAGTTTTGAAATTTAATTTTTTCACAGTAAACCATACTTCATCAGTAAAGTTAAATGTTATACTCATCAAAATTTTAAACAGTGCTTTGTATTGTGCAGATCATACGATTTCGACAGACCATTGAGCGTACCTAAAAGAATTGCTCGACTACTTATAAGTGCCAGAAATACTCGAACGTGTGGATAAATTGACCCTTAACTATCTATTACAGATATATGAATCGATACGGCTCTTTTTGTAGCAACTTCAACTCTCGAGCACCTTCAAGTAAAATTATAACATATTAGGGCAATATCGAATAGGATGCTTGGTTTATTTTATGTTTCCATAGAAATGCATGCGAGTCCTCTTATGTGAATGTGTGGTGTGTGGGGGATTATGATCTTTGCGCCGTTGAGATGGTCAACAAAATCGGTCGTATCTTACTCAATATCAATTGCGTGAGCGAAAGTGTCGAGGATCGAAGACCTGGCTCTCAATACTCTCAAAGATCATATTATATTGTAACGGCTTGTTTGGGGCAATTACAGAGACCGTACATTTTTTTTTGGCCGACGTGATTTCAAAGGTTTGACCATGTAACAAGTCTTCAGCAGCAACGATGCTGTATATAAAGAACACATAGAAATCCATTGCCGAGAAATGTGGAATATTTCAATAGCTCATGTGCAGGCCGAACTAATAGTGGCATGTGGAAATTTGGCTGACTGGGGTGGGCCTACGGGTGGATAATTACCAAAAAATTACTGAGCATATTGTAATTCTATCGATTCAGTTATAAATATTTTAATTTGACCAATTTAGTCCCAAACATTTTGACAATTTATCAATGCACTCCATCCGGCTATTGATGACGTGAACGCCGGCCGTCCTACATGGCACAGCCGGTGCTGACATGGACAATTTTCTCCAATATTCTAAATTTTTTATTTAGTTTTCTTTCCTTTTATTTTTCCTTTCACTATGGCCCTCACCTAGATCTGGGCAAGGCTAGGCTAGGGCCATGACCCTCACCAGCGGCCAGCAAGGACTTCGCAACCCTCGCCTAGTGGGCAGTCGCAGTGAAAAAAAACAAAGGAAAAGAGAAGAAAAGGAAAAAAGAAGAAGAAATAAAAAAATTCAAAAAATTAATAAATTGAAAAAAAATTGTCCAAACTATCATCGGCCGTGCCACATAGGACGGCCAGCCGGTGTCCACGTCAGCAATTTCCCCACAAAAGGGACATAATTTGGCTTTAAAATCATGTTTGAAAATTTTAACTAACGAATGAAAACTCTTCCTTGTTTAGATAAGGGAAAATGACACAAACGGTCCTTGAACTTTGACTCAATGTGCAATTTGATCCCTAAACTTTTAATTTGTTTAATGTAGTCCTTGAACTTTTACCCAATGCTCAATATGGTCCCTGAACTTTCAATTGGTTCAATGTGATCCCTGAACTTTTGGTACATGTTCAATATAGTCCCTGAATTTTATAAAAATGTTCAATGTAGTCCTTACATTAATTCAAGTTCAAGGACTATATTGTATATTTTCATATAGTTCAGGGATTAAATTGAACATTTACTAAAAGTTCAGGGACCAAGTTGAACAAATTGAAAGTTCATGGACCACATTGAATATTATGTTAAAGTTCAGGGACTACATTGAACAAATTAAAAGTTCAGGGATCAAATTGCATATTGAGCCAAAGTTCAGGGACTGTTTGTGTCATTATCCCTTTAGATAACATCGTAATCGAAATGATTACGAGAAGTGTAATTCCACGAGTCACGTGCATGTGGGAAATTCTCGTTACTAAGCCTATGAGTATTGCTGCTTAATGTTGGTCCCACGCTACGTGGGTTTTGACATGCATGCGCACACCGTCTTGCCTCAATGACAAATACAAAGGACAAGCATGTCTCTTTCATGGCCACGAATCTTCCAAACCAGGAACTTCGCACTTCATTCTAGTAATAGCAAAGATAAAGAAATACGAGAAAGAAAAGCAATTTAAAGTTTGTGTATATTTCGATTTATTGATAAAGAGTACGTGAGACTATTTATAGACTTTATTGGATGAGTACGTATTTAAAGTAATAAGATCAACATAATATCAATTATAATTAATTAGGGATAGACACAATTAAAGGAAATACATGTGTAATCTCGAGAGACATTAAAAATCAAGTAATTATCGTAATATTGCTATAACAAGTAATATGCATGCAGTTTTTAAAGCGGGAGGCAAATGATTTTCATTTTTGTCTTTCCCGACTAGGCGCCCGTCGATTCCGACAATCGTTTCGAAATATGCCCATCGATTTATCTGGTGAAGCTTTTACATGGGGAGAATTAGTAGTGATCGAGCCAAAATCTATGCAACGACCCGTCTTTGTCGCGGAATAATGCTTTCGGGATCATCTAAGATGCCAAGTCCAACACGACCCCCACCTAGAATAAGATTAGTGAAATTTAAAGAGCCCCTCGATCTTGACTAGACTTTTTTGAATTTTGATGGCTGCAATGTGTGAAGCGGCGGAGGGGACAAGATCTTATCCATTTCATATAGCTTTCTGTCTTTTCCTTATCCAAATAAAGACACCATTGTCCATTTACGGGGAACAGTGTCGTGACGATCTTCTTTTGCTACTTAGAGAAGGATTGAGATTTTCTATATTTAGAGGTGTAAATTTATAAGTTGCCCACCACCGCCCGCACCGACTGCGTTGGTTCGCGCTCTCTGCCCCTTACGAAGAGTGGGGAGTTCGAATCCCAGCGTAGTCATTAGGGATTCTTAAGCGTGGCGCCGTTGTGGTGGGTCCTGCGCTAGCGTCACCCCGGATTTACGTCGCCGACTGTCGGCTGTACGGCGGTTCCCGAGTCATAAAAAAAAAAAAAATTTATAAGTTGCCCGAACTCGAAATACTCGCGATCTTATCCACGGCCAGAGGACGATCAGAGTCACCATGCGCCGACCCCCGCCGTGGCACCACCTCGCCCCAAGCGCCGACCCAACTCCCGAGCCACCACCCTCTAAGCCTAGACTCGACATCAGAATAAGTCATTTTCATGGGTTATGTAACCTCTAGTAGCTTTGAGATGCCGTAACTTTTAAGCTTTCTAAAAATAATTTTTTAAGACAAAAATACTCGTGCAAAAACCCTATCTTTTTCTCTTATTATCAAATACGTTTCTAATTGCCTTCTTAAATTTTTCTTCCGACTCCGTGGAGAACTTCTCCATCATCACCTCCAATGTTTTTTTGTTCCAATGTTTGTAATAGCAATAATTATACAATAAGAACATGTAATGTTGCTGCTATTATTATTATAATTATCATTATCATTACTATAATAAGGTGAAAATTATACATCGTAAAAGTTCAAATAATACTTATACAGGCATTGATAACAACTAAAGCAATTTCATGTCTTTTTCGCACCTAAATATTGATACAAACTCTACAACAATGTTAGAGGTTTTTTTTGTCATGTTAATAACCAAGCGATCTCTCGCAGAAGTTTCGACCAAATGCATTAATTGCTTATAGCTAAAGTACAGCACCTTCAAAGACGTGTCGCCAAAAGCGTATGCTTGTAACATATAATAGTCGGGTACTGTTTCACCTAACTGGCACTGTTCATTGTAATATATAATAGCCGGGTACAGTTTTACCAATATCTATGAGTGTGTTTTAGGTGTCATACGAGTGTATTTTAGGTGTGTAGCCACAACACAGCTACAACTGCACCAAACAAACTCTAAGTTGATTAATTCCTCGCGACTCCTTCGGCAACAATTTCAAACATACTAGCACTTATATGTTTAAATAAATCATAGAGAACGAGGACGGCAAATACCATGAATTATGGAGCCCCAGCTGTGCATGCAACATCAACGCATTAATAAATCAAACACCACCAAGTTGAAAATGTCAAAGTCAAATCTTCTCAAGTTGACTTTCCCCCCGAATTGTTTTTGATCCTGATCAACCTCCTCTCTCTTCAAGCTTCAGACATCCCTATAAATGCAGTCCCTAACCTAACTTCCAACAGCACATCCTCTCATCTGATCATCACCCAACAAAGAGAGACAAATGGCAAGTCCAAATCTCTCGTCGGCTTTCTTGTTCACTCTCCTCCTCTCAAGCTTCCTGGTCTCGCCATCCTTTTCCGAGCTCTGCAACCCTCAGGACAAGAAGGTCCTCCTGTCCATCAAGCAGTCCCTCAACAACCCTTACATCTTGGCCTCATGGAAGGCCGACACCGACTGCTGCGACTGGTACTGCGTCGCCTGCGACGACACCACCCACCGCATCACCCAGCTCACCATCTTTGACGGCACCCTCTCGGGCCAAATCCCGGCCGCCGTCGGCGACCTCCCTTACCTGCAGATGATCGACCTGAACCGCCTCTCCCACGTCACCGGCCCGATCCCCTCTTCCCTCGGCAAGCTCCAGGACCTCACCTTCCTCCGCCTCAGCTACCTCAACCTCACCGGCTCCATCCCCTCCACCCTCGGCATGCTCTCCAAGCTCACTTTACTGGACCTTTCTCACAATGACCTCACCGGATCAATTCCCAAGTCGCTCACTTCACTCCAGAACCTCGACACCTTTCGCTTGAACGACAACCAGCTGTGCGGCCAGATTCCTGTTGGCGGCAAGCTGCAGAGCTTCGATGCATCATCGTACTCAGACAACAAGTGTTTGTGTGGAGCTCCGCTTTCAAGCTGTTAAGTTGATGAAATGGTGGACGGGTGACGGAAGATTTGATAGGTAAAGACACCGGCAAGAGAATAAATATATTATCGCCAGTCTATATTCATGTAATGGAGTTTCATATGTATAACTCTTGCAAAAGCCACATATACCAAAAGAGGACAAAGAAGTCAGATTTCTCTTTCTTTTTTTCCTTAGATGATGTTCGGTTGTGTTCACGTATGACAATAATAGAATAAAAGTATTCTTACAATGTGAAATAGAGTACTTTGGCATGAAATAGAATCGCAGTTGATTGCAACACTCTCTTATGAGCTATTCGACGCTAGGTTGGATCCAAGAGCGACCGGTTGTCAACAAAAATACCTAAATATGTACAGGTCTCGTGCAACTTTTCGACCCAGCATTCAAAATTGTCCTAGAATGCAAGATCAACCTAATCAACATAACAAGACATATTGAACTGGCTGAAAGTCAACGCCGTTTCACTTCCAACCCTTAACTTCAAGCTCGCCACTGTGAAAGCTGGTTTTGTTTGGCTGTCTATTGGATACATTTTGATCGGCAATTAATAAAGGAAGATGGAATTCTTGAATATTTACCTCATGTTTTGTATCTTTAAAGAGCAATAATGGAAATACGCAGTAATTGGCTCTTGTCACGATTTTGTCCAATAGTTTTTTAGTCTCTTTAGCTGTTCTCAACTCTATATTTCGGCTTTGCTTATTATTAAAATTACTTTATGGCCTGTCTAGTTCAAGTTGGTAAATGGGTTAATTTCTCAAGAAATAAAAAATCGTAACACTAGAACTTTACATGTTTTAAGATCCATTTGCAAGATAAAGTTTTCTACCTAAACATGAAAATTTTGGTATAACACTATGTTCATTTTTGCGATTATCCAATTTCTCATTTTGTAAGTAAATCATCATTTTGTTCAAAAGCTCAAGAGCAAACCTCAGCAATAGTGGCCATCATAAGGCTTTCCTAACCGGAAACAACAAGGAAAGATAATTCAGAACTCCCGAACATGTTAACCCACAAGACATCCAACAAAACCTAACAATGCTAGTCGGTCAACTGCAATATTGCAAGTGTTATTCCAAGCTCTAGAAAGACACTTGCAATTATCCAGTTTCAATGTGTACCGAACGTTTTGCTAAAGTTAAGGAGCCTAGTCAAGCTATGCGAAAGGCAAAATAAAATAGAAATCTGCATAAAATGAAAGATTCATGGCTTCTTTTTCATGAAATGCATTTTCACACTACTATTCGTGAATTTATACTGATGACTTAATGAAAAACTTTGAAGTAATTAAAATGATTTATGCTCCTTTATACTACGAGAAGCAATGAGATCCTTGATCTAATTTGGGAAGAAAAAGAAAAAGGAACATATCCTTAATAGCCATGCCATACACAATTTGATCTCCTCCTACACTTTCACACATGTGAGCAGCTTCACATTATTGGAAGTAAAAAAAGGAAAAAAGAATTAGGAAATGAACAGAGACAACGACATTATTTAGCATGCGTCACACTTGACAAGGAGCACCGCTACACACTCACACACACACACACACACACACTCAATTTCATTCATGGCCAAACTCTCTCTCGATGATGATGATCATCATCACTTGCAGCTATCAAGAGGAGTGCCGCACAAGCACCGGTTATGGAAGTAAGCGGTGGAGTCAAAGCTCTGCAGCCTCCCCCCGACCGGGATCTCCCCGCAAAGCCTGTTGTAGCTCACATTAAAGATCTGCAGATTCGCGACCCCGGTCATGGCCGCCGGAATCGCCCCGTAGATCTTGTTGTGGTTCAGGTCCAGAGCGATCAGGTCATCCTGCGGCGGCTCCATCTCCGACATGTTGAACTCGAACATGTTCCTCGACAGGTAGATCTGCTGCGTGCTCTTATTCCTCCCAAACAGCGCCGAGGGGTCGCCAGAAAGCTGGTTCCGCGACAGGTCGATGTATGTGAAATCGACGTCCCCGAGCGCTGAGGGGACCTCACCGGTGAGCTGGTTGTTGGACAGGTACAGGTAAGGGCTGCTGCCCTGGATGTGGCCGAGCGAGGCAGGGATTGAGCCGGAGAGGGCGTTACGGTCGAGCCGAAGAGACCGGAGGTTCGGGGGGTTGGAGAGGGAGCTCGGGATCGGGCCTGAGAAGCGGTTGTAGGATAGGTCGAGGAAGATGAGGTTGGTGAGGTCGCCGAGGAACACCGGGATGGGGCCGGAGAGGTTGTTGTAGCTGAGGGTCAAGTACTGGAGGTTCTTGAGCTTCAGGAGGGAGCGGGGGATGTTTCCGGTGAGGTTGGGCTGCTTGTGGAGGTAGATGGTCTCGAGGTAAGGGAGGTCGCCCACAGCTGAGGGGATGGGGCCCGAGAGGTCGCCGAGGGGGACGTTGAGGGCGACGATGCGGTGGGTGGTGCCGTCGCACTCAACGTTGTTCCAGTCGCAGCAGTCGGTGGCCGCGTCCCAGGAGGAGAGGACGTAGGCATCGTTGAAGGCTTTCTTGATCCGGAGGAGGGCCCTCTTGTCGTCGGCATTGCAGAGCTCGGCGGTGGCAGAGAAGGAGGGGAGGACGGCGGAGGAGACGAGGAGGGAGAAGAGAATGAAGTGGAAGTGGAAGTTCGACATCACTTTGGTGCTTCTTGTGTGTGTACTTGTGGCTTGATGATGTTTCTAATCGAGCTTGACAATTTTTTTTGGTGAGGGATCGGAGGAAGTTGGTTACTATTTATAGGAAATTGAGGGTTAAGTCAAAACAAGACTAGCCCAAAAATGGAGAAGAGAATCAAAGATCATCAGGCTTCGTCTTTAAAAGAAAAAGTTTACACTTTCTTGGATGGTTCAAAGATGGTCAAGATAATACAAATTTTGAGCTCTAAATATAAGATGTAAATTTATCTCTAAACGTATATAATACAAATCGCATTTTGTCTACAATCAAAGTGGAGTCCTTGCGAGGAGGCCCAGCTATGTTGACGTTTAGCTGCAGCTTGTTAAGGTGAATCTTCTGAGATGGGCCGACTTTGACTTTGACCTTGGATGTTGTGCTGTCATTGTTGAATTGACGCCACCGGAGTTTTTCATAACGTATGTGTTCACTTGTGTTTTTTTTTTTTTTTTGTATTTTGCTAAGCAAGTAATATAATATCAATAAACTTGATGTTGGAAAGTATATGGATTAAACGTTCCCAAAAGAAATTTTGTGTTACCAATTGATAATTGAGGAAATTTCAGAGTGATCACATTTTCTTATAAATGGAGCATCCAATCTTGTCCGTGCAAGTGCAACCCTATCCACCCTCCACAAATCCACCAACAACAACAATGTTGAACCACCACCGTCTCCTCCTTCCCTTCCTCCTCTCCCTCTCCATTTCCGCCGTCCTCCGCCCCGCCTCCTCCGAGCTCTGCCACCCGGTTGACAGAGCGGCCCTCCTCCGTATCAAGACCTCCCTCAACGACCCCCCCTTGCTCTCCTCCTGGAAACCCAACACCGACTGCTGCAACTGGTCCTCCATCTACTGCGACCTCACCACCCACCGCATCGTCTCCCTCTTCATCACCGACGGTGGCTTCTCCCACGCCGCCCGCATCCCAACTGCCATAGGCGACCTTGCCGCCCTCGAGGACCTCACCCTCCATAACCTAACGGGCCTCTCCGGCCCCATCCCGCCCGCCATTGTCAACCTCAGGAACCTCAAATACATCACCTTCACTGCCATCAACCTCGCCGGGACCATCCCCTCTTATCTCAGCCTCATTAAGAACCTGACGTACCTGAACCTATCCTCCAACAAACTCACCGGGTCGATCCCGAGCTTGCTCTCGCGGATCCCCAAGCTCCGGTACCTCGGCCTCGACGGCAACCGGCTCACCGGGACGATCCCCGAGTCGCTGAAGCTGCTCGACGGGAACCTACCGTACCTGGTCCTGTCGGACAACCGTCTCTCCGGCGAGGTCCCCGCTTCATTCCGAGGGGTCAACTTCGGGTACGTGGATCTGGCCGGAAACATGCTGCGGGGGGACGGTTCGGTTTTCTTCGGGGCAAACAAGACCACGGAGAAGATCAACCTCTCCGGGAACGCGTTCGAGTTCGACCTGTCGAGGGTCGAGTTTCAAGAGGGCCTGATCGGACTGGACCTGAGCCACAACAGGATCTTCGGTAGCATCCCCGAGGGGATCGTGAAACTCGAGCTGGAGTCCTTGAACCTGAGCTACAATGCGCTGTGCGGGAAGATTCCAGCCGGAGGGCAAATGCAGAACTTCGGTTACGAGTCCTACTTCCACAACCGGTGCCTATGCGGTGCTCCTCTTGAGAGCTGCAAATGAATCGGTCGCGTGGTGGCGGTGGTGGTCGTGGGTGGCTTCAAGACTGACAATGACCACCACTATTCCTAGTGCTCGTTGCTCTTCAAGAGTGACGCTCCATTTTTCTCGCGAAAAAGTAACTACATTAAAAATATGTCTTTAAATCCACTTTTTACAAGATAGTAGAAGTTGCGACTCCCAAACTCCTACAATACTGCTGAAGGGGGTTAGGAATAATACAAAGTTCTCACAGGAACTAATCATGTGCAGAATTTTAAGGGTCAATTTTCTTCATATATTCGGATGGGCTGTATGCTATATCTTGAAATACTATCTGTGTGTAGTTTTATAAAGCCCGAATAGGCTTAAAATATTCAAATAAATATAAAGTATGAAAAAATTGAAATGAGAAAACATTATTAATACTCTAAAACAATAGTACACTAATGGAAAAAAAACATATAAAATTAGTAATTAATCGCCATATGGAACCAAAACAATATAGTGTAATTATAATTTGGAAAAAGTGACTTGACGGTTCTATGGCACGAGGTTTTGAATGAGCATTCAGAAATGTGTTTGCAAGTACATAGCTCTACCGAATCAAAAGTTATGGGTCGATTAGTGGGCACGGAATTTTTCTATCTCTAAAATGGTTTTTAAATCTGTAAATATAATTCTTGTTATGACCAAAATGAAGAGATTATGAGAAAGGCTAAATTTCTAGCTTACAAACCTGTATCCTTTCAAATCTACGAATCAATCATGATTTTGAGCTTAAAGCCAGACCCGGCCAGCTCATTTTCAACCCCACCAAGGAGACCATTTTCAAGAGCATTTGGGAATAAGACTATTTTATCACATCCCCTAAGGAAAATATCTTCTGCAAAATTCATTAATATGTGTTCATATCAACAGATAGGCAAGAAATTCAAAAAACAAGAAACGCTTTTTTCTATAGTTTATATAGAAAAAGAAAAAATCCAGAAAGCTGCGTATATTATATTATTGATGGGGAAGGGATCGAGCTGGCCAATGAGACTTTGTCAAATGTTGGATTGAAAGGTCTTATTTGGAAAGAAAAAAGGGGAGTGTTTTATCAACAATTTGCTTGTGCAGGCGGATTCGGTATTTTCTGAATCCTCATGTAAGGAATCAACGGGCTTTGAGCCCTAACTTGGTTTAGATTCTACATAGGTTCGAGATTTACCGATCTAAAATGAATTTTACACCTCAAAGGGGAATTAGGGGGTACTATACTCTTAGCTTGGGCCGCCTTCGCCGCCCCTCCCCACTTATGGTCGTCTTTGATTGACATATTGAATTAGATTCTCTTCATTCTCACAACCAGCGAGCCTCTCTCTCTCCCCTTAGTATTTGACCTCGGTAGAGTGCTGGACCTAACGATCTCCCCCTCTTGCGGCATTGCTGTCGTCGAGGAGAAGGAGACTGAGCTACACCAAGCCTAGTCCGAGATCAAGGCTCGGATAGAGCGTGAGCCTCAGATCTCAGGTTCAGTGGCACTCAACCCAAGCACTAGACTCGGATCTAGGCTCGCTCGACGACAACGAACGGGACAACCGTGGTGGAAACAAAGGCATGGAGAGATCAAGTGCGAGTGAGCGTTGGTGGTGGAGATCAGTCGTGAGGGGCGGTGGAGAGCAGAGATCGCGGCGGTGTTTCAATTAGAGGCAACAACAATCAACTGTGGTGGTGGTGGCGTTCATGCAATTTCGACTCGATGTGGTGGCCTAGATGCAGAGAGGAGGAGGAGAGAGAAATCTAGTGGCCCGAGATGCCGTGAGCGAGGGATAGACCTCGATTGCAATCGAAAATGTACCGATCATCATGTGTGGGGATCGGTACAAGGGGATTGTATCCAAAAACAGTATTTTTACGCTAGGGTAAACAGCCTGAATATGAAATCGTTGGTACTTGATGGTATGGGTATCGAACCTCAAACCAATCAATGATTTACTTGTACGTTACATTCTAATGTACCCACCATGGGACATGATGGACAGCGGTGGTGGCTTTCCATTGTCAAATGCTGCCAAACTTTAAAGGCGTAATGTAGGCCTCCCCCCTTCTTTGGTCTCTTCTTGTATGCCGGGATGGCCACATTGAGCAATGGCAAAAGGCTACTGTCATTTTAGCGTCCCTAGATAAGATTCGAGGGAGATAGGCAGAGAGAGAGGGAGCCTTCGTTCTTGACCACTCCAAGTGGCTCCGACTATACGTACATACACAACATCTATGGACTCGTGCTCAATTCGCCACGTCCTGAATCCTCACACTTTTAGATTTTAAAATTAAAAATGATTCAGAGTTTCTCTTTCAATGATTCTAGACCCTTTTTCCTTTTTTTGGCGATAACGATAGAGACTTTTCTTCTTTGTTACTGTCCATCATAGTCATGACCTGGATAAAAGTTGTGACAACACTTCGTTTTGCGCCAAGTTTTAACATTTTGAATACCGAATCCTTGAAAGCCACGCTTCGGCTTAAGGAGATGGATAAGTACTCGTGGTATCAATCCAGTTTGGTTGATCATGATCGAGACTTGGTCGGATAGAAAAACTCCACGTATTCTCTAACAATCTGCATTCTGATCTTTAAAATAAATGTCCAAGTGTTGTTAATTTGTATGTCACATTGATTTGCTCCGATACGCATTGATACACAACATATTTGCATGTCTTCACGGCTTAAAGTTAGTAAGGAAATACCAGCTACAACCATTTTCTTGTTATTCTATTTTTTGGTACAAAGACAATACTACAACCATTTGCAATCCCCGATGTAGTCATCTTTGCCTTTAATGCACGAGGGATTAGAAAGCTAAATGATTGAGGGCCATGATGCGCAAAACTAATTATGAGGATTGGACTAAAAGAAATTAAACTCATTGAAGTCTTCCCAAGAGGATCGAATAAATGGAGAATGCATAGTATTTTTTGAGATATAGAATTCAATGCCTCCTATTAATTTACCCATTAATGTCCATTAGGTGAGCTCGTGATCTTTACCCTACCACAATGAGAACTAGAATTCAAGACCAATGATATTCTTAAGTCCATGCTTATCCTCGCAAACCAACCAAGGTTTCGTGAGTCCTAAGATAAATTGGAGAATTGAACCTTTAATCCTCGGCATATAGAATTCGATGTCTCGTATTAATTTACCCATCATTGTCCATTACGTGAGCCCGTGATCTTTGAACGAGAATTCAAGATCGATGATACACCTAATTCCCTGCTGCCTATCCTAGCAAACCAATCAAGATTTCTTGAGATAAATTGGAGAATTGAACCTTTGATCCTCAGCATCCAAATCAAATCCTGGATCACTCGACCGACCACCTTAACGGTGTCGTGTTTGGTTAACTTTTATAGATTTGACACTTTGTAGTTGTAGCAAAAAAGTATTATCCTAGAAGTTGCTCATTCGAGTTGAAACGAAGGAAAAAAAAATATCATCTTCGTTTTGATTAATGTGAGTTCAAACGAAGCAATGATTTTATTCTATTCTAACATGAAGACGGTCCCTTTTGGACAGTCGACTATGGACAAATCTTAAATGCCAGCGTAGGCCTCCCTTCATTGTTCATTCAATGAACATGGGCATCGGCAAACAAGGTTCGAGGAGAGATAGCCTTCGTTCTTGACTGGTCCAAGTGGCGCCAACTATCTACACATACACTTGGTTGACTTTGTCATTATGTGCGTCTCTTCACTTATATTTTAAGTCAATAAACCTCTTGCCATATCCCGAATCCTTGTACTTTCACATTCTCAATCTAAATATTAAATCAAAGTTCTCTTTCAATGACAGAAGACCTTTTCCTTTCCTCGACCAAAATGATATAAGTTTCGCGTTCTTACCATCAATGACCATCGTAATTCGAGACCTTCAACAAAAAGGTATCTATACCTGAAACCGACACTAATGGGTAGGTAAAGAATACCCAACAGCGCGAGACAACTCTTTCTAATGAACTCAGCAAAACAACTCTAGAACTTCATAAAAAGGGGTGAAGGGCGTCGTAGTGACCAGGCCCGGACAACATGTAGGAGAGATGGAGGTTCGGCTCTCGAGGGATTTGGTGTTGCTCATATTTTACAAGAGATACTTACTTATAAACCGGACATATTAGAGCTTGTCAAGAAGTACTTGGTAGTCATGAACGGGAAGAAAAAAACAATTGAAGTGAGAGAGTTGAGAGTCGAAATTAATACTAAATCTTGAAAAATCTGAATTCAACGTAAGGCTGGATTAGGACTCGTGCTACCGATCCAAGTTGGGTTGAGATGACAAGGACTTAGCTCGATAGTTAGACTCCCCACGTGATGAAAAAAATAACATTTTTCAAGTCGTTGTCTTTAGATTATTAAGAAAAAAAATAGTTGATGATGTTTAGATGAACGTCTACATGCATATGGCAAAATGGATCCAAAGTGCTTGAGACGCGACAAGCGGTGGTCTCCATATCCAAAGTGGCTCTTTCTTCGAACTTGTGTTTAGCGCGTGGGCCATCGAAATAAATAGGCCGTTGGCCTATTTTTAAGTAGATGATATTTTTTACCCATAATTTAAATTTATATTTTCACCCTAAAATTTGCAAACAAAGTAAGGTATTTTAAGTTTCACAATCTTTACGTGTCAATATTTGAATTTTTTTGAAAGATGTCAAGTGTTTCGTACTAAATAATAGTCAAAGTATAAATTGGTCAAATTTACAAAAGAAATTAGAAGTAGAACCGATCTTAAATCCCTCCCCCAGTTGCCATACACAACTTCCTCCTATAAATACAGCTCTCCACGCCTGCTCCTTCCTCACTCATCCAAAACTCATCACCATTGCCGCCACCGCCACCGCCGCCACCTTCAACAATGTCTTCCGCCCACCTCCTCCTCCTCCTCCTTCCCCTCCTCTCCCTCTTCCTGCTCCTCCGCCCCACCTCCGCCATCCTCTGCCACCCGGAGGACAAGGCGGTTCTCCTCCGCATCAAGTCCGCCCTCAACAACCCCTACCTCCTCGCCTCCTGGAACCCGGACGTCGATTGCTGCCACTGGTACTGCCTCAAGTGCCACTACAAGACCCACCGCGTCATCTCTCTCTTCTTCCTCGCCTCCGACCTCCCCGGTCAAATCCCCTCCGCTATCGGCGATCTCACTTACCTCCACGACCTCACCCTCCACAAGCTCTCCAACTTCTCCGGCCCCATCCCAAAGTCCTTCACCAAGCTCAAGTACCTGAATCACTTGACTCTCAGCTGGCTCAACCTCACCG